GACTTACAAACCCTCTGCCTGTACAAAGGCAGTGGTGGAACAAACTGTGTTACTACTATCTCTGATGCATTGTTAGGACTTTACTTACTACTTATTGGGACTGTGCTGCACAAAGTATGTTGCTATCATAATGGAAAAAAAAGGGCAAGTAACAAAGGAAGGCAGACTGGTTGGTCAGGGTTCATCCTACAGCAAGATAATGACCCCAAACATTAGAAGAAAACAACTAGACGGTGGTTTCACATGATTGAAGAGCAGCACAGTCTCCAGACTTAAACCCACTGGAGCTGGTTTGGGATGAACTGGACAGAAGGTGAAAGCAAACTAATCTACAAGTGCAACACATTTGTGGGAACTTCTGCAACAGTGTTGAGATAAACTTTCCAAACAATGTTTCATTTCCATTGTGGAGCAGATGTCATGAGTGTGTTCAGCTGCTGAATGAGTCAAAATCTTTGTCATTTAATTGTTCTATGCTTTGTTTTTCACTTCTGAATGGTAGCATATACTGGTACTGAGCACTTGCATATACATTCTGTATATACATACATATGTCAGAATGTGGCCTTTTTATGTTCATGCTTCAGTGTTTATATATGTGTGTGCTTAGTATGTATGTGCGTGTGCATAAATATGCATGTACTTGTGTGATTGAGGTGTATATCTGCATGTATCTGTATGCATGACAGTCTGCATGTATGTGTCAGTGCTTAGCACCAGTATATATGAATGTGCAAGTGAAGTATTCAATTTTGTCCTAGACAGTTTCTCATACGTGCAGGTTCTCTTGTAACATTAGAAGTGATGCTTATGAACAAGTATATCAACAATATTGTCTAAGTATGTAAGCAATATTGGGTTAGAATAGCAGTCTTATCTTTTCTCTTATGACACTTATAACACTGGGACCAATACTCAGCCATACAAGAGCAATGCTGTTTATTTATTTTCCTGTTTCTACATGGATCATCAACTGGTGAGGAGGCTAGCTGATATCTTTTGCTTTGGAGCTTTAGCCACAGTCTTTTAAATGTCATGTATGTAATAATCATCCCTTTGACATCCCTTTACTTTACAAGGTTATTCTTTTAAAACAAGTTAGCTGGAATGTTTGCAAGAGACAGCATTTTAAACCAACTGACTTAGCTAACATTAGCTTAATGAGCTATAGCTACTACTGATAAAAATTTCTCAGCTACCAAGTAAAGAAGGTTTTTATTCAGCTGGCTTTTGTCTACTTCTGTCTGAAATCAAGGACCATAGTGTTTTCTGAAGATACTGTGTTTCTTGTGTCACTGTTATTATTGTAAACTGTATCATCATCATGTGCGAGAACAGAAAACTTGAAAGGCAGCAACAGTAAGGGTGGCGGGGCTTAGCTCACGGTCAATTTGTAGGAATTTTACATCAAAATCTAAGATTTTAGTTAGAAAAATGTTGTTGGGCCTCCTACTATACCCAAACTAAAATTTTCATTTTGCCCCAGGGTCAGGTTAGTCTGGCCATGTGTCTAATCCTGTATATTTACAATCTGGGAAGTATGAAACGCAATCATAAATACACAGCATTCTGTATAGCAGTTTATTCATTTCTGTCATTTCTGCATGTTTTTAAATATATTTTATTTATATATTTTACATTATTCTTGAATGTTATTTTCATGTCTTTTATACGTATTGGCTATATGATAAACCCAGAGAGAAAAAAAGGTAAATTCTGAAAGCTAAAAAATACAGTAGGTGAATTTGCAAGTAAACAATACAAAATCATAACAACATTTTTAATAAATGATAATGTATCTTAATGCAGGTTAGTGATGTTGGCCAAGCACACTTCATCTGGCCAGCATGATGTTTACAGTGAAGCGTTGTATGCATGTAAACACACTTTGAGGGGTGTTTCAAGGAACAGCATTACACTGCAAACGCAATGTCTTCAACTAGCCCCGGGTTATGCCTCTCATGTATACTACTCTAGTGTAACTCCCATGTGTCATAATACATGAGAGTTACAAACTGGGACTATAGCTGCAACATGAATCATGAGCCAGCAGACACACTTCTCTCTACATCTCCTTCAGTACCAAAATCATTACTTCGGATACATTTGTGATGTTGTGTCTTGGAGCCAGTGCTACAAGTTAAACTTGTCGAATAGCTGCTAAAGTCTCCATGAGAGCAAATATACGATTTAACTCGTCAAATGGCGCGAGACACCATGAACAGCTTTTATCCCTAATTACTTTCTGCCCATTCTTTGTCTGGGTAATTCTGTGTCTTGAAATATCCCTGAGCCGTGGCGTTTCTAAAATAGCTTTCAAAACCACTCGATGGCTGTTTCCATAATGGCTCCATCATCTCATTTGTATATGCACTTTTATTGAAAAGCACCACTGATGGCACAACAGACGACCAATTATTGGCAATGTGTCTAAGCTTCTAAGGAGAAAAACAAAAAACAAAGAATAAAGATACAACCTGCAATCTTGGTAAACCTATTGTCATGTTCCAAAGCAACATGGATTTTTCTTTACAACCATAAATGTTATTTTTGCCAAAATTAAATGAAAAGTTCAGAAAATAATGTGCACGTTTTGCCATTTCTTTGCAAGTTAACTGCCTGCTGAACTGCTTGCTCTTTAACTATCTCCATGAGTGTAAATGTCAACAAGGCAAAAAGGGACAAGACAAACTGAAAACCAAATGAATCTCTGATGAATTGTTACATCCTTGGCAGCCACTAATTAGAGAGTCCAAAGAAACCAATCACACACTGTTGCATGCACACAGAGCTGCCTATTGAATGGCAGCATTAAAATCTAACCTCTCTAACACTCTGCATAATTCAAACTTCAATCTACTTTAAAAAATAGTCCATAAACTGATGTGATATGTAGACATTATTTACATTTTTTTTTTTTCCAGTAAGGCATGCCATTATTCAAAAGAGATTTTGCCAAGTTGTGATGTGAATTCCTCCGGTTACCTTTGCACTGCAGAGCAAACAACGAAGCAACATCCTTCACACTGGAGGGAGGAATTCACTTTGTTATTATGTGCTCACAGAATAAACATGAGCCTCTTCCTCTGTGCTCAAATAAAAGGTCAGTAAGATTTGGAGCTCAGGAAATGATCAGAAATAAATTTTCAAAGCCGGTGCTTGTATGTCGCTCTGAAAAACCTGTATGAGAAATTCAAGTTAGGGAATGGGTAGTTAAGATTGTACTTCAACAGAGAGGTCGCAAACAGACAAGAGGACTGTTTTTGTGAACATTTGAGTGCAGAATCAAAGCAGAAAAACTGGGTGTGAAACTCAAAGTTCCCAACACTGTGTATGGCACTGATGTTACACATGCACACACACATTTAAGAGTGAAATTTTTAGCCCCACTTTGGGCGGTTATGTGCATGTCGCTATTGAGATTTTTTCCTTTTGCAACTGCAAATATTTTATACACATTTACAATTTGCAGAGTTATTCACGAGTTACTCAGGTTGGTAGACTTCGCCGGCATAAGCTGCATACATTAAAAAAAGTACATTCATGTAACTATTAATGTTTTGTCACACTAGCTTTGGTTCATATGAGACATCTTTAGGTCAATAAAATGTTAGTTAATCAGATGGAACAAATGAATACAGCCTGTTTTGGAAGTGTGTGTGTGTGTTTGTGTGTGTTTGTGTGTGTGTGTGTGTGTGTGTGTGTGTGTGTGTGTGTGTGTGTGTGTGTGTGTGTGTGTGTGTGTCCCTGCCTAATGAACACAGTGAAACATGTCAAACACTTGGCCAATATTGTAAGTGGCACCTCAGGTAATACACTGAAAGCTAAAGTGCCGAGGCTTTGTTACAAAACAATATGGAAATGAATGAACAAAGACATAATGTGAACTGAGGGCAGGACCAACTTTCACACAGTTAACTTTCAGCTGGCTGAATAATAGATGTTTTGCCACCACCCAGTGGTGAAACTGAGTATAGAGTCCTTGTTGGCAAATTTTTCAGGCTGGATTTTAACTGCAGGCTAAAAGGCCTCTGTCATCACTCATAGCTCCATTCACATTTTTGTTTTTGGAGAAAGAAAAACAAAGAGGATATTAATGGCTCTCACAAAATGAAAACCAAAAATGAGCCAAAAAATGTCAAATAGTTGATGATATTACTTTGTGCCCCAATTTTATCCATTTTCACCTCTATTTCTTTAATATAAAGTTTATTTGTTTTTTCATGGCTAAAAAATGGCCAAAAACAGGAAATATAGGGAAAATTTCCTGTTCAAATCAAAGTAAAAGTTCAACCTCATGTTGGAAAAAAAACTATATATTATACTGACATCAGTCACCATGACGAGGGATCACCTGACTTGGTGCTAATAGTAAATTTATATGGCGCATAGAGTTCAGTAGCTACCTTGAGTTTTTTTTTTTTAACATTACACTTGTTGACGTCTGGTTTCGAAACACCAGAGTAAGGCAATCAGATATGGCTATGGTTATAGCACAGGTGTGGTGTCGCTGCTTGTGCATGCTCGTGCATGAATTATTTCTTTGTCTATGCATATGTTTACATGTGTCCAAACTTTGCATCCTGAAAATTCTCTCCAGTTCATGATTTACAACATAAAAATAAAGGTTATCCTCACTGTTCGCCTCATGCCTCCTCACTTGACAAGAATACGTCTGCTGGCTTGTAGTTTTTGAAGAGGAATCTTCACTCATCCATTAGAGTACAGTCAATGTTTGTTTGCAAATGGATATTGACATCAGTTTGAGCGTCAGTCCTGGTGAGATGGTAGAGGAGGCAGTGCAAAAAAAGATGCAAAACAGAACAAAATTGTCTTTCATGATACTCCACTGATCCTACATGTGATGATTATTCCCCAACATCCTCCACAGTTTGGATGTTCCTGGAGCTGGGTTTGTTTCAGTGCATTACTCAGGAGCATTTTAACAGTGTGTGGGCCTCCCAAGTTATAGAAAACAGTCCTATAACATCAGGCTGCCCTACTGCCCAAATAACGTTTCCTGGGTCAAACGTAGATGCCCTCGGGGTTGAGGCTGGAGGAGATGGTGGTCTGAAGAGCGCGGAGGTCGCTGGGTAAGAGACGTGAGGAGCCACGTCTTGTCAGAGAACCAGACTCCACTTCTGAAACGAGAAGGTCTAAAAATAAAACACAAAACTAAATTGCCGGCTATGGACGCCATTCATCCAAAGAATCACATGTGTTATTCTTGTGATTTAATATTCTGCTACTGATCTACAACTCACTATTACTTTATAGATGTGATGAATAAGTTGCCATGTGCACTTTTCAGTGCAAACATATCACTATGAAACTATGAAAACTATGAAAGTTTACCACATGACAAAAAACCATTCTGGGGGATTTTTCCTTTTGAGAACGAAAATAGGGGATTTTCTTTTTGACTTGCTGTGAAACTCTTACAGCATTTCATGGCTGCTGGTGATTTGGTCCATGTAATAGGGTTACAGACTTAAGCTGTTATGGCACAACAGTCTTGCCTCACCAGCCGTTAAGTCTACAGTCTAACGTGTGAGTCTCAGGATGACCACAAGGTGGCACTGCGTCCATTGTTTTTACGCATGTAAGAACATTAATATGTAGAGTACCTCAGTTAGAATGAGGCTGGCTATGATTGAACTTGTTCACAAGGTGATGGTAATGAGGCAAGTCATGAAGTCTGGTGTGTACATGGTGTGTACATGGATTTATATACATGTGTGTGTGTGTGTGTGTGTGTGTACGTGCCATTGTTGTTCTCTGTAGGTTGAGCAGGCAGCACAGTGACCTTGGTACCAGTCTGCTGAATGAACTGCTGCAGGTTGACCTGTCGTAGCTCTTTTGTCAGCTGCTCCAGCTCCTGCTCCTTTTCCTGTGCCGGAAAAAAAAAAAAAAAAAAAAATCACCATGACAACCAAAGGAGGTTTACACCTGTACCCTGACATAAATCAAATAACACACTCAACCACCTTTCAAATCCACACATCAGTATTAAATTTAGATTTACTTTGACTGGTAGTTTTCTTACAGATGCTGGTGCTAAACCCTCCATTTGCATCTTCTTCTACATTCACTCAACTTTAACTGAGGTGGATTTAATTTGTGAAAAATCAATAAGGGATCAAACTCTGCTCAGGATCTATCCAGAAGTCATAACCCAGTTGAGACGGCTAAAGAGAAGACTTAGCTCCCAGATGGTTACGCAACTGCAGCCAAGGGATTGTGTACTTATTCAGGCCCCTCTCTAATCAGGCGAAGAATGCTGTAATACCCTCCCTCCCTTTCCCTTCTCATTACCTCACGCTTCCCACACCCTACTGGACCTCGCCTGTACACAGAGCTCCTCGAATCATACTAGGATGCATGTATCCACCGCGCATCCCTGCAAGCCAGAGATTAAACTTTGCTTCACTGCCCACAACTTAATGAGCTTAGATTTCTATGGTTCCACCTGGTTGCCGGGGACTGAATTTTCATGCACACATACACACACACACACACACACACACACTGCAATGACAAACTTATCTAACTTTTTAATTAGCAGTTAAAAAAAAAAAAATCAAACATTTTCAGCATGCTCCAAATGTATACACCCCCATTTTCAGCAATCCGCCAAAGGTGTGTCAAATCCTGAGGTCAACTCAAAATAAAAATACTAAACAGTAAAATCTGAGCTGACCTGTAATCTCTTCCCTGATTGGCCAAGTGAGCGTTCCAACGCCCTGCAGCTGCTCTCCAGCCGCGCTGTTTGTTGGCTCTGCATTTCCAGCTCTGCCCTCACTTTCTCCAGCTGGGCCTGCACCTGAAATCCAGAGAGTGGAAGAAGTGAAGAGTGAAAGCCAGCGCTCATCCAAACTTTTCAGAGGAGATGGGCAAAAGCAGCTAAATCGCCCTTGTAAAAACATGTAGGAGGGCTCTTTTATGCTTCAATGTGTTTTGAAGTTCAGGATTTGAATGAGAAATGACGCAGTGTTGTGAGTGGTATTCATCTTCATGAAAAGAGAAAACTTTGGAGCTATATACACCGGGGAAATCTCCTATTATGTCCTTATTAAAGAAGATGAATTGCTCCCAGCCAAATCCTTCATTCATAATCAAATGAATGGATTTCATTTCACCACCACATGAACCTATAATGGGGTCAAGAGATCTCTAAAGGCGACACAGTTAAAAACATTTTTGCCAAATCTGTCTGCATGTCGCCGTGAGTTTTGGAAAACCGAGCTGTCCAGAAACCAAAGATTCTACCTCCTCCTCATTGATCTTCTGGTTGAGCTCGGCCTCCTGCTGCAGCCGCTCCTGCTCCAGGCCCGTCTCCATGTTCTGCACAACATGACATGAAGAATAAATGCTGTGGCAAAACTGGTATGAAAATGATCTTCATAGAAAACTAACAAGTGGAATCGGGCAGCGTCTCTTTGAATGCTGAGCTCACCTGTATGCGTGCTAAGTACTCTGAAAGCTTGGCCTCGCAGTCGCGCACACGGGCCTGCAGTTCGACGAGCTGCTGCCGGAGTTGCCGCTCACTCTCCTGCTCGATTTGCAGCTCGTTGTGCCAGAATTCCTCCTCCTCCATCTCAGCATCGTTCCTCCTCACCTGCTGCTCTAAAAGCAGCAGCTCCTCCTCCAGATTCTCTCTCTAGTGGCAGAAAAAAAAAAATAATTAGAAATGTTTGATTTAGGATCTTAAACCTAATATATTTGAAGACATGAGGGTTTTAAAATCTATTTTTCTAGTAACAGCACTGGCAGCTGTGGGTTTTTCTCACTTCATTGGCCTCGCCGGCGGCCTCCTCCCATTCTCCCAGCTCAGCCTCACAGCCCAGCAGACGGCTCTCCAGGGCCTGCAGTTTGTCTCTCTGCAGCTGCACCAGGCGGCTCAGCTCTCTGGCTGGACTCCCAGGTACAGATGCTACTCCACCACCTCCAACTCTGCTCAGGTTCAGGCTCACACTGTGCTGCTGCGGCTGTTTGGCTGAATGGATGGATGGATGGATGGATGGATGGGAGATAAAAGGTTATTGACAAGTAGAAAAACAGAGGTACAAAGGGAAGGAAATAATCTGTAAGTGACAGTAAGCGTGAAAACTGGGCAAAAAAATAAACACACCAACTAAACACTCTACCTTCAGCATCTCTGCTTTTTCCAAATATGTCCCGCAGACCCTTGGCCCCCCCAGTGAAGGTCAGAGACTTCCGTTTGGGTTCCCTTCGTTTGAGCGAGCGGTCTGTCCCTGACGGGCGGAGCTTGGCCAGAGGTGGCAGGCTCTGCCGGTAGAGTCCACGCTCTGGGACGCGAGCCTGCCCGTCAGAGGTGGGCCGCTCGCTAACGGACGGGCCGGTTCGTTGGAGGATGAGCTGCACGTCGCTGGCATACTGACCCCACTTGTTGAGGGAGACCACTGGGTTTTCATTTGGAGCCAAGTGACGTTCTGTCTCCCGCCATTTCTCGATCAAAGTATATCTTCCGGTGCGACCTGGGGCACAATAAAAGAAAATTGCTTAATATAAAATATTACCAAGATAAACAAAAAGAGGATGAGAGACGTCAGGTATTCAGGGGTTTTAATGCTGTTCCCTTACAGCTAAAGCACATGATATTCTCCAGATCTATCTCATGTACAGACACTTTCCTGTTCACTGTCAACTGGCTTGCCAACTCATTTCCAGTCTGTTTAGAAGTGCACTTTAGAGGATGCTAACCCCTGTTCTGTCTTTTGATCTTGCACCATCACTGTTCGAGCTGTTGGGACTGTTGGTCCTAGTATTCTATTTATTGCAGGTTACCTTTTTTCCACTGGAAAGGTTTATTCCTCTTCACGACACCAAAACCTATCTTCAAACCACAGTTTTTAACAGCAAATGGTCTACTTTAAATTAATGACTTGTATAAAAATTAGAGATCCACTGATCCGATACGCCAATATTAATTTTATGAAGTGGATTGGGTGACAGCAGTAACGTGACCGATCCACATGAAATACAGCTTCAAAGTCATAAAATGAAGTGTCTCTGCTATCAGTTACATCCATTCAATTGTGGAGGGAGTTAAGTGTCACAGCAATCCCTTATTACACATAAAGAAAATTATTCCAACAAGACCGATGCAGTGAGGTAAACAGATGTTAAATTTAAGAGCCACAGCACTAGTATTGATCAGTACTCAATATTAGCATATCCTGAGTTAAGGTATTGGAATCAATATCAGGAAAGACAAAGATGGATTAGATAAAAATATCTAATTTCCAATGTTTCTGCAGCATTAAAACTGAACTCATCCAGGAGACATTTGAGTTTAAAATTTTACTTTTATAAGGAAATGCCTATCGGGGATGATGCCTTTGACAACTCAGCTCATACATGTCCAATAAAACTGTCTCTGTCGTAGTTGGTGACGCCCTCTGACCTGTGGTGTTCCCCAAGGATCTATCCTCGGCCCCTTGCTTGCAAACACAACATTCACTTTCATTATTATGCAGACAACACCAGATTTATGGCTGTTAAAACATCATTTATTGACTTGGTAACCTTTAAATGTCAAGCATGTAGCCCAAAAAACTAATTTGACAAATAAGGGACAAGGTTCTTCTGTCATATTTTGTCACGATGGGTAAGCAATTCAAAAAAAGTAGTAGCACAAGAAGTTCAATGTTGTGTTGCAATGAAGAGAAATGAAACACACAAAACTCAATTCAATGAATTCTTTTACAACTCTCCCACGCTCGTCCACCAATGGCAGATTCAAAGAACTTTCTCAATGTGTTTTAGTGAAAGAACTTTATAGTGGGAAAACTCAACTCAAACAGTGACTGTGCTGGGAAAAGGATCAATGGTTCATGGCTTTGTATGTGTGTGTGTGTGTGTGTGTGTGTGTCTCTGTAGTCTTGTCTGCACACATGTAGATAAGAGCTAAACACTGCCCATTGCACCCTCACCCTCGTTTTGCACAGTAAGGGTCCTTGTAAAAGAGGCACATTCATCACTACAGCCATTCACATCAAAGTGCCCCAGCCTGGACAAAAGGCACAGGGAACACAAAGGACAGTGAATGCCATAACTCCCGCTACACTGTCACTGTGAGAGACGCACATGTTTCAGCTCGACGAAAAATCCATCAGTGGGGTTAGTGATAAATCTGCCCGTATTTAAAAACAGTTCACGTCAAATTCTAATGGTCTTGGATACACAAAACATTATCTACAACACAAGCCATGCGATGACGAACAGAGGTGTGTCACCTTATTTCTCTGCAAATGAACAGAACATGTCAATAAATCAAACTCTGCAGCATGACTCATCTCATTTTATGCAGCCCAGTTATGGTGAATATCTTTGTGCCCTCAAGTCGCTTTTCATTTTCATGCAATTTATCATCTCCAGTATGTCTGACAACCTGACTGACCATTTACATGACATGAAGTTTTTCAGCATGAAAGCCAGAGGGAGGGGATTTTCATCTCACTGTGTTAAATCTACTCTTCTGTGGTGACGGTCTTTGTCTTGTTATTGGTTTACCTTTTGGATTCTCTAAGACTTTTGTGTGTATTTATATTGGGCTGTGAATTCTCCATCAAGCAACCAACAATACTTCACATCTACAGTTAACATTCCTCTGATATCAGCTCTTTTTCAAGCATCTGCCACCTGTGAACAGGAGAGATCAACATACTGTTTCTCATACTGTAGGAAGTAGTTTGAGCTTACCAATGGCTTGTGCCAAAGCAATGACCACTTCCTGGCATGTGGTGAACTCCGTGACCCCGCACACGATGCGCTGCACTCCGTCCACCCACACTTTCAGCTCCATGGCCTTCATCCAGAGGCCCTCATTCCTCCACACCACAAAGGGGTGCTAATAATGATTTATTGTCCATCCTAAAAAGGGGCGAAAAAAACACACTGCTCAATGCTTGTCAAACAAAAACCTGCAGTAATCAATATTTTTATACTAAGAATGGATCAAATAACTAAGTGTAAGCATTTTAGCGTCTTGCGGCTCATTGTTTTGGTTGTATGTCCTGCAACTGTACGGACTTGGTTCATTCTCACTGCTCTCAACTGTTTTCAGTTAAAAAAACTCTAAAAACCCACTGCTAGCTACCCATCCAGCACTAAAAGTTAGCAACTAGCTAGTGGACACAGTGGAGCATTTAGCAGGAGTTTGTCGAGACCAAACCAGAGCTAAATTGATAGTGAATATTGAAATTAATCCAGATTCAATGATTATTTTTTGTTGTTAGGTTTTAATTACAGTTCGTTTAGAATCACTAATTTGACTACAGTTTTGTAAAACAACAACACAATGTGGTCATTTTGTCAAAGTACACCTTACATTTCCTCAGCCTCCTCTTTCAATTTATTTTTCTTAATTTCCCAGAATTACCTGAGAGCTACAGAGCAAGAATTAGATTAGATTAGATTTAAAATTTGATTTAAATATCAACCAAACACACCGTATGGTTGTGCTGAGTGACACCAGCTTCCTGTAAACCAACAACTCACATCAACTTACAACACTTATTTTTTTGAGAAGCAGTTTCCTGTAGTGTTGCTGATTAATTGCTGCAACAACCCACTTGTGGTGCAGCAACTGTGACCGTCTAACAGGCCTCATTCCATATATTTTTCATTTGCTGGTGTCGGTGCAGGAACACTTACAGCAGTTGCATGCGCGCTGAACGAGAGCCGTTCCAAACTGCTGACACAAGCACCTCAGCAGCGAGGCAGTCATTACGAGCCTGGCAAGGCCACGACAGCGGGCCAGAGCAACAGAGCAGTGAAGGAGCAGATGCCTAAAGCTCAGACTTTTGCAACCCTACTGGGCAGCAGCCCTCCTTTTTTCCTGACTGGCCCATCAGCTCTGCTCTGATCCTTGTCTTTCATATCGCTTAAGGCTTCCCTTAACAATTTAGGCGCCTTCCATCTTAATCACAGCTGGAATGGGACACCAATTTACCTACCGGTCCCCCTCAAGGCCTTTTCCTTCCGAGACTGCACACTCCCCTGTACTGGAGGCATCTGGTAAGGACAAGGCCTGCATTTGGTCGGGAGCAGGAGAGTTTGTAAATGCAGACAGATACTGCAGGATGCATCTGACACCTGTTACAGCCCACTACATGAGTCTGTTACAATGAATACAGAGGGGGGACAGAAGAGGGACGAACACATTAAACAAGGTGAATGAAACAAAGAGCGGGAGGTTGGGATGGTCTGAGGAGAGAGTGGAAACACTTTTCGGATGAATGCGAGAAAACACAACCCACAACTTTGGCAACAACAGTACAAATATATACCCACAAACAGAACATGCACAGCCCAAGATACAGTGTAAAAGTCTTAGTACTACTTCTAATCTAAATGTACTGTTTGCTAAGTAAAACTTGGCTTAAGGAGTTTCTTTGTTAACAAAAGCTTTGTGTTATGGTTTCATAACACGCAGCATCCTAACAGATGATGTGATGACGCCTGACATTTTCACAGCTGTGGTCGACATGTTGCAAAACAATGTTTATTCAATGAGGAGCGATATCCAGATCACGCTGAGGTTTTATCCAGGAGGAAGAGCCAGTTGACACGAGCTTGTAAACCTGATCTTACCCTCCCTGTCTCTCTCACACACTTTTGTACAAACACACACACATTTGTTGCACGTCTATGCGAGAAGTCGTACTGAAGTCATTCGCTCCTCTGCGATTCAATTATCATAATCCTATCATCAAAAGAGAATTCATTTTCACTTCATTCAAGTCCAAATAAATATTGCTGAAGAGAGATTCTAACACGCACATGTTTAGGCCTTAAGTTTGGGCTTTAAGCTTTTAGAGACTGTTTATAAAAATGGTCAAAATGACAAATGTTTATAAAAGATGTGAGTCTGGTAGAGCAGGGTGTCACATAAAGCTGCTTTAACTGTTTTCTCCAGACTACAAGTCATCTTTTCCACTAAGGTAATACTTTAATATTTAATTAAAAAGATGATTCAAGCTCTTGGAGACGCTCTTCAGCTGCGAGCGCAGACATGTGGAAAGAACACCTATAGAAAGGGAAGACATTGGCCGCACTAACAACTCTTCTGCAGTTACTTTCTTTCCTTGACTCACTTGCTCCCATTGGCCCCTTGACACAAATATCACAACATATGCTAGGAGGCTTTTATCAGAGTCAGTGCGGTGCCATAGGAGCAGGCAGCTGTGCAGGAGCAGTTGTTCAGAGCAAATCTATAGGTACAGAAGCTTTGATCCTTTGCATAGCTACAGAGATGCTCTCCATGGGTGAGTCCAATGGGAATCAAAATCTTGCGCCTATAAGCTGCAGAGAACAGGATATAGAAGCTGTGACTTGGGAATAAAACACCGCGCCGGCTTCAGACTTATTGATGTCAAACTAATCGAATCTCTCGCTCAGCAGCTCAAACAACAAATCGCCTTTGAAGTCTTGTTTCTTCGTGGAGACGATCCTCGATTTTCTTTACCCTGCTATAAAACTTCCAACGCTTCAATCACTAGGATACCTGCCATGTCTCAGCCACCTCTTCCCCCCACCAACCCCCTTATTGCTGTTACTGTTCTATATTTTCATCATACTATTTCCACTTGCACTCTGGTCTTTGATCTAAATCACAGTTACTTTGAAGCCCCCAATGCCACAGCGTGAATAAATAAATCATACAGGCTTACATGGCGAGTACACACAAATTAGTAGGCTGCGACATGTCTGTTTCTATTTTGGTTTCGGCTTCACTTTAAAATGTATACTTCCGTATTAAGTATCAGGCCTCGCTCACTGAGCTATACATTTCTGAGGTGAGTAACATCAGACCCTGTAGGAAAGGTGCTGGATCTGTTGGAATTTCCTCTTCCATTAGTCACCGTTTAATAAACAGACAGACTCAATGCTTCACATTCCTGCTTCATGTAGTAAGCTATTCATGGCGAATCCAGGACAGTAGAGTTAGCCTCTTATTGCAGGAGACGCACTCATCCTTCAACATAGAGACAGACTGAGTCATTACAGGTAGATTTAGCGTTAAAGTCTAGCCCAGAAAACATCTGGAGCTTATGGGAAATGGTGTTTGTTAAAAGCCACTTCAAGATCATTTTTCAATAAACTACCAATCCTTATCTAGACACAGGAAGTGAGTCACATGACAAAACAGCTTGTTTTTGACTCCCTATACTTGCTAAACATCAGCAAGTTAGCATATTGTGAGCATGTTAGCTTGCTGATGTTAGCATTTAGCTCAAAGCACTTCTATGTATTTATTGTATTTATTTACTTTGTTATGTGACAAAACTGTAGCTCCAGTTCCAGTCCAATGTGAAATGACACTACACTAAATATGGCTTCTACATTATGTAACATTTTCCAATGTTTTAGACCCCGACCCCCGGATCGTTAAAATGAAATTGCTATCACATTTACGGTGGAAAGTTGGCATGTTACAAAAGAAAGAGCTACAGACACAGACATATATTCATGTTCATTTTGGTTGTTGTGATATGAGAAAATGTTTCTCAGCAGTGTGGAGAAAAGGTTGCTGCTATCAGTATAAGTCGACTGCTTTTGCCGCAGCCATTTAGATTTCAGACATGAAGAATACTGACGTGTGGGCTGTGAACTGTCGAGCTAAACTTAGTTGTGACTTCAGTCTGCTTCCCCTGAAGTTTCATTCTCAGGATGCCACAGAAAGGCGTTAGAGTTAGGGAGGGGACACAGTATGGCAAGTCCATGTTTCTTATTCGTCTTTCCTCAAACATGGATAGTAGTTAATGAGACGGATCAGCATGAAAATGCCACTGAAAGCTCCTTTAATATCCCTGAGATCAGCATTAAAAAGATATAAAGATTGAAAAATGTAGAGAAAAGCCTCTAATGCCACACCAGCTACATGTCTGGGTTTGAATACAAAATAACCACCAAGGGAGTTCATTTCCTGTCTTGTTCAGTTCAATGCTCTCAGTGCATCGCTAAATTAAACTTTAACAGACTCATTGATTAGGTTTGAACCCCTGACCCTTGCTCATTTCCCCAGCTGCCTGCCAACAAACACTATATTGTTGCCATAATAAAAAAACAAAAAAAACAAATTAAACTTGTTCCTAAATGTCAGATACAAGTATATGATTGCGTATTATGAAAAATACACTAATGTCAATCTAATGAATAAATATAACGACCTGTAAAAACTTGTCATTGAGCAGATGCGATGACTTTGAAGCAGCGGCAGCAGCGAGCAGTTCAACAACAGACGATGATGCAATCACAGGCCAATTTTTAAAGTAACAAGGAGCCAGTGGCAGCGTGAGGGGGGTCCAGTGAAACAAGCGCTGCACAGACAAAAGAGCATGCAGTGGTGTGTGTGTGTGTGTGTGAGCCCACATGGCTAGCGGCATGACTGGATGCAAACAATCCCTCACCATGGCGACACAGCTCTGGCTTTGTCCGAGCCTTACACAGATGACTGGATTGATTGGAGGGCACGGTCTGGGAAAGTAAACCAAACAATCACTGACAATTAAGAAGCAACCCGTGCTTTCCTGTCACTTCCTCTTTGTCTCCTCTGAATGTGGGGTGCACTGCACCGGGGTTTCCCAAACTCAGGATTAAGTAGGGTGTCGCTGAAGCGTCTCAGAGCTGATCTGCTGGTGGAGATTAACACCAGTTTTAACTGGAGCTGTCATACGGTTTTAGTTGACCCCCTAGAGGGGGAGACTAATCTCTCACTCCAGCTACCTAAATTCATTTCACATCGACTACACAACTCCGTACAGCCTGAAGTCAACTGCATACAGTGTAGTTACTGAATCA